AGCCTAGATACTGAATAAATTTTCTAAGTATTTGTCACATAATATTCAGGTGGTTATAAAGTTGAAAATCCCAGGACAAAGGTTGTGGAAGACAGGTTGATTACATATGTTTTTGATAAGCATAGTGACAATATAAAAAAAACCAATTAGCACCATGCCTTTTATAAGGAGATATTAGCCATCTAACAAACATTACTCAGTGAACATGTTAAGAAATGTTACAGATTCATCTCAAACTAATGATGTAATGTATGGGGATTAACATAAGAATAAAAAAAAAAAAAAAAAAAAAAAAAAAAAAAAAAAAGAAATGTTACAGATTAAATGTGATATCATTTCCTATGCTTTTTTCTGTCTTAAAACTTTAATGTAGCTATTTTGGGGTTCATTTCTTAACAACTAATTTAAGGAATATTTAATGATTATATACTGTGTCTCCCAATTAGAAGCCTGGAAGGCATTCTTTAAAAAAACAAAAAAAACCAAAAAACCCCAGAAAAGATGCTATTTATTGCATCAATATGAGATTTGCTAATTTTTCTCTGAGACAGTTCATTTGAATTACAATGATAAGTCAATTGCTCAAAGATGCTTTACTTATTCTGAATACTCTTATCATTAGTTAAATTAGGGCTTTTAATATTCTAGAAAGACATACCTTTATTTAAGAAGGAGAAGGCAAATTTTAGAAATGTAAACACAAGCAATAAATGGCATTTAACAATACTGGCATTAGAATGACATTTGTTCTTTAGAGCAAAACACAAGGAAAAGAATTCTAGTAGGACCCATTGACCAGCAGCAAATAACAGCCTTGTACATAAAAGTGCCTCCCCACCCCCACCATAAAAAGGCTTAATGTTCTGCCTCTTTATTTATTTGAAGCATTATTTCTTTGGCCTCAGAAATAATTTTGGGAGTCAGTCACAGCTGGGTTTAAACCCCAGGTCTTCTACTACCTAGTCTTATAATGTTGAGCAAGTCACTTACTCTTTCTTCATCTCATTCTTCATCTAGAAATGAGAATAATACTATCTACCTCATGGGATTATTATGACAATTTTATAAGAAAATACATGAAAAGCACTTAACACAGGGCCAGGCCTTGAGTAGGTGCTGAATAAAAAACAAGATTTAATCATCATCATCATCATCAGAATTAAAGAATCTCCAAAGGGAAGTAGCCAGGGAAAGCATTATCATTACCAAGGGTTAAAATTCAATTTCACAAGTGAGATATCTATTTATATTAAGGCTTCAATGATAAAATACACTAGAGGAGGCAGGTCAAGATGATTTGTTGCATCCCTTGTGCTGAATGTCAGATGTTTATACATATATATGTCAATTAAGCCTGACAACAACTCCAGAAGGTAGGTAGTATATGCCCATTTTGCAGATGAGGAAACTGAAGCCCAGAATTTGGCCCAAATCATGCAACTGTTAAATCACAGAATCACTACTCAACTATTTTGTTTGACTCCAAAGCTCTGTTTCAACTTAATTTCTAAATTCAAGTCAACTTTGGGAACTATTCAAATTGGACCACTCACCCTTATCTAGACCTGATCTGAATCAAAAGCATGAGCCTGTAGGGAACACAGACTTTATCAATCCTCAGCTTTTTTTTCTCTCTTTCATCTATAGTCTAATCCCACTAAAGGAACCCCAGAAGTCAGAGGCCTACTAACTATACCTGCTGCCTACCCACAACCTGACTCTGTAGGCTCCTCTCTGCATGAAGTTGGCATATTTCACTACTCTGGACAGAGCCCAGAACAGCATTTTTAACTATTTTTTCACCAAAAGCTATGTAGGTCTTACTGATTTTTCTCAGTAATGAATTGTGAATTCCTATTACACATAGATATCCTCTATGTGGATTCCACATAGATATCATCTCTATGGCTATCTCTACTTTCAGTGCTTTAATCAGACATAAATATCTTTCCCCTGACAATTACTAAGACCTGATATCTTGCCTCTCTCCCATCTCCCTCACTCCAACACACCTCTGTCCAGTGTCTACACTGCCACTTAAGTCATTTAATTTACATTTCCAAGGGGAATACCTAATGCACACAGATGATGAGAAAGTAGGAGTTGGAGAAGAAAAAATTAAATAGGTGGGAAAAAACTAAAGGATATAAGACAACCTAAGGAAAATATTTACAGTAAAATGTTAGGCAAGTAACCAGTTGTGTAATTACATCATAGATGTTAACATAATTCTATTAATTCTTCTTTAGTTTGACCAAACAGTGCTTTTTTCACACTGTTGCTATGAGAAATGTCCACACATTCACTAATTTTTTCCACCTACAAATAGAGTTTTAGGAACATGACATAATGGGGTTAATTAACAAAGTAGTACTGGCCAGGAACGCAAAGAGGAAAGTTATGTTACAACTTTGTCTCATAAAGCAATTTTATGATTTTTCTGACTATGGACAATAGAAAGAGCATATTGTTTGAAAGTTGAAATAACCAAAGATGAATAAATATAAAAAGGAGACACTGATGTATAGGATTGACTACAAGGTTTAGATATTCTGTCTTTGCCAAATGAGAGGAGTTCCAATATAACTTATTCAAGGTTAGATAAGGTAGGGGGAATATGATATTAAAAGAGTCTCTTTAACAGTTACTGTTTGCTTTGGCAATATGTTATACTTTTTTAGGGTAAAATTTACATGTTGGTTGAAGAAAACCTACAAACTAAAAACAAAAATAATTTATTTGTTAACACTTAGATATTTGATTTTATTTCTCAACATTATGATTTCAGACACTGGCATTTAATTTATGCACAAAGGGCTCTAATGGAAAATGCTTCTACTGTATCTACGTGAGGACTGAACATTGAAGTATAAAAGGACATAACACTTTTTCTTGGGGACCAGAGGATGAAAGCCAAACGTAGGGTGCAATGGAATTATTTGGCTTCCTCTCTCCTCTGTTCCTCTGCTGTCTCAAGTAAATGAATCCCCAAACTAAATGAATATAATGCAATCACTCTTTCAATTATACCTTTAATGCCCATTGATGTGCTTTATGTTCAACAGAAGAGAATAGAGAATCTGATTTCATTCCAGGTTCTTAATCTTTCTGATAAGACAGCCTTTTCAGCTGTGAGCATTAGGATTAACTCTACAGGTCCCTTGTGTCGGCTTTCAAAGGGAGATCTGGCCTTGCAGGAGATTAGATGATCCACTGTGCATGGGGAATAAAGTGATATAAGGAAGGGCGCTCTCCAAATGGTCTCTGGAATTCTTGTATAGCGCTAGATTTCTGTGTATCTGGGGAATAGAGTCCACTTAATGGGAGTAGTCATTCAGAGTCTTGAGTTTAGAAGGACCCTGTCATTTGCTTAAAGCTCTAAGCTTCAGAAATTCTGAATAACTTTTAACAAGCGACTACATTTTCATTTTGTTTTTATGTTCAGTTAGCCAGCATATAGTACCTCATAAGTTTTTGATGTAGTGTTCAATGATTCATTGGTTGCATATAACACCCAGTGCTCATCCCAACACGTGCCCTCCTTAATACCCATCACCGGGTGATGGGTACATTTTCAATTTGCATTGTACCCTGCAGACTTTGCAGCTGGTCCTCTGGTGAAGAAGGGCTTTGGAAATAGACAAAGGATAATCAGCTGCTTTCTTTTGCCTTTGCAAAGACATGAACCTGGCTGGAATGGCCATGCTTTTGTATGTTCTGTTCTCTCCAAAGGATTACACAGATATCCAGTATCTAGGGGAGACCAATTCCCCTGTTCAGGATCCAGTCTCCCTTCTCAATTTACACTTTTTCCCTCCCCTTCTTAGCTGCATGCATGGCTGCCCAGTCAGAGATTATATATCAAACTCTCTCTCTGGGTGCCCAGGTAATTGCATTTGGACCACTGAGATGTGAATAGACATGTTTGTAATTTCCATGTTATTGCCTTCAAGGCAAAGCCCCCCCCCCAAAAAAAAGTCTGAACTCTTTCCTTCTCACAGGCTGGAAGGCTTTGACGATTCAGAGGAGGATGACACACTAAGGAAAGGCAGAGCAAAGAGTAAAAGGAACTTGGGTCCTTTCAAGACCTCCTGAATAACAGCTCCTTTGCTAACATGAACTATATACCTTAGGTCAAGGATTTGAAAGAGGAATAAATATTCTGGGGTCTCTTTGTTACATCAGCTTAGCCTCTGCCCTAAGTAACGTACAGAGTAAACCGTTGGGGGCTAATTTGCAATAAATTTGTATTTATCCAGAACAGTTGAATAAAATAGTGTTCCTTTTGAACATTCTACATAGGGAAAATCACTAATTAGCATTGAAATGACATAAAACATTATACTGAAGCTAATTTTATCCTCAGTGATTTTCAGAACACTTCTGGATCTTGCAGAGCCTCAAGGTCATCAATATGAATACTAATTATAGTATATGTCTATAAATGTTGGGGTCTGAGTAAATCTATAATAACTTATGAAAAACTCCTGAAGTTGCATCTTCAAAATAAATTCCTGCATCACTCTCGTTTCATTGTAAGTTATCTCTATACTGAAAGAAGAGTACAGGAGTTAAAAATAACATTTGCGAATTCTCTCATTGCTTAGAAAATGAATTTACGTGCTTACAATACTTTTAAAAAATAACATATATAAGAAAATTTTGCTTCTCATTTCTTAAAAATATTCAATGACTACAACTACTAAGATTTAAAATATAGTGTTGATAAACCAGTCACAAAACCATCAAGGAATCTTATCTTCAAAAGTACAGATTTTTGGGGTGCCTGGGTGGCTCAGTCGTTAAGCGTCTGCCTTCGGCTCAGGTCATGATCCCAGGGTCCTGGGATCGAGCCCCGTGTCGGGCTCCCTGCTCTGCGGGAAGCCTGCTTCTCCCTCTCCCACTCCCCCTGCTTGTGTTCCCTCTCTCGCTGTCTCTCTCTGTGTCAAATAAATAAATAAAAATCTTTAAAAAAAAAAAAGTACAGATTTTGTGTTTACCTGCCCCAATGACTCTCTCAATGCGAATTCTTGAGGGATCAATCTCCTTTGCAAATTCATGAACTGCTAGGGATGGGTCTTCATATGTATCTGGATCTATGTAAGTTTTAATTCCTGGGAAATGTACTGCAACAAAATAAAAGATTGATTTAGTTTAAAATATTTTAGTAATTACATATCTTGTGTATGTTTAAAACAAGGATTGACATACTAAAGTAGTCATTATTGTTAATTATTTAAATTTAATTCTCTTTTCTTTTTGTCCCACTCCTCCTCACCCCCCCATTAAAGCTTTGAGTACTTAAAATCAAAATATTTACCTGTTAATGTAAAATGATCTGGTGATTTAATAGAGAGTGAGCTGACAGATTCCAGAAAACATATTTATGATATCTCTGTAAAATGTTTAATCAGCTCACTTATTCACTAACAACCCATATTTCATACCTGATCTAGCTCAGGACATGGGGGAAAAAGACATAAGCCTTTCCCCCAAAACAAGAAAGCCTATTAGTGTCCTTCCTGAACCCTTCGTACTAGCACTAGGCACTGGGTTTTCCAAACTCATGCCTCAGTTCAGAAACTCTCAGGCAATAAAGAACAGATCCATGGACAATGACAATGGACAACAGCCCTTCCTGTTCTTGTGGTTGCTTTCATAGCCAGACTGCACATGGTCCTGAAAGGATCCCCTGTCTGTGCTGAAGTTAAGGGTGGGAATCTAAGGCCCAACTCTGGTCACTGGCTGTGTACCTGCTACTCTCTTTGAAAGGCGTGGAGGGCTCACAGCCCACCGGCAGTTAGGATGATGAATAGGGATGGTAGAAAACTTGAATGTGTGATTATATATTCATTCACAACTTCTTCCAGTATCTGAAGAAGTCACAGATTGCCTGTGGACATTCCTTGGTTTGCTGGTTGGCTTCTGCTTTCCAGGTTAGATTGCTAGCTCCTGGAGGACAGATCATCTCTTACACATCTTTATATCTTTCCAAATACCTTAGGTATGGTTTTATAGGTAATAACCACACAACAAACCTTTATTAAATTTGAATTAGTAGGGATTAAAAGATCAATACAAATCCGTGGCATAGTGGATGGATGATATTTGGTTTTGTTGCTTTTGATTTTGAAAACCATACAATACCCTGAGTTAAGTGTTGGCTAAGTTTCCTTAGAAACATGCTCTTGCAAGAAAATCTCAAAAGGAAACAAAGAAAAAGTGATCAAGTGAGTTTAGAGGACGTGATGAAATGCCTGTTATTAGCAGAATTTGCTTCATGAGTTCTATGCCTGTTGCCTTCTTTCATAACTTTTTGCCTACTGTCTCCTGCTACCAGATATGCACCCATGAGAATATTAGGAGTTTCCAAAATATTGCCAGTAAAGCATTGTAGGCATACGTAGACCTGACAATGATTCTGAAATACTGTGCTTTTCTTGACTTCCCAAAGTTTAGATTGGAGGAAAAGAGATCATCAGATCATCTTTACCTCTGGTCCATATTTCTTATGATATCTTTATAACTAAATGGGAGTTGTGGTTTCAGATTGAAAAATCTAAATGCAAATCCAGTGGCTACTATTAGATGATTAGTGGTGTCTAATTGGATTTAAGGTGTTAATATCACCTTTTTTTTATAAACACAATATACGTAGTATAGGGAAAAAAAACCACTTAACTCCAATTTTAACTATCTAGTTACTTATTTAACTTACCATGGCTTTTTAAACATCGGTTTGTTATCTTTCTTTCACTTCTGTGGCTGCCTTAGGTTATTTTCACTGCTTCTTGCTGGGCCCATCTGGTTTAGTTTATGCTAAACCGCTAGTTGGAAAACAGGTAATAAATACCTCAGGAGCACCTTTTTCCTCTGCATTTCAGTACTAAATGCCCTGCAGTGAACCCTGAGGTTGCTCGGCATGTGTCATCTGTCCAGGTGTTTGGATCTGGTTTTCTGCCACTGTTCACAGCGTTTCCAGCTCATCCCATGGCTGGTAGTGGCTGTCTGAACTTTCTGCTCTCTGCCAGTGCGGTGAGCCTCAAATGTATTCTTAAAAAAAGTAGCAACTAGGAAGACCTTGCTTAAAATGCATATGTCTTGGCCCTACCATGGACTTTCTGGTCAGAACTTTGGTGAGTGAGGATGGAATATTCTAATGCAGATAGTCCGTAGACCACTGAAGAATCTTGTGAGCCTTGAAATAGCCCTAAACCATCCCTCTAGTTTATAATATCCTCACTTCAATCCTTTCTGCCCCCTTCAGAGAATGTTATAGATTGAAAGTCCCTTATTCCTTTTGCTCAATTTGAAGTAAAGATGAGTTTATAGAGTTAAATAACGTGCCTCACACATTATCTCTACACTGCGGTTAATCAGAGAACACCCCTTTCTTGTTAATTCAGAGTCTCACAACAGAGAAACTGTCTTGACAAAGTAGTCTGCCATTTGGAGGTGGAGGTGGAGGTGGAGGTGCAGGTGGGTGTTGGGGAAGAAAGGGTGGCGATTATCAAAGCAACTGTAGTGGTAATTATAGCTTACTTGGGAAGAGATTCTACAAATGAATATAACCTTGTAGTCAGCTCAAGGATTTCATACATATTCTAAAAGTTAAAGAGCTGATTTTCTTTTTTAGTGTTAATGAACTGTAAATTGATTTGTTATATGTTTAAATGACAGTCCCTACAAGAAGGAATAAAAATTCCTTAATATTTCTATGGCTAATGCTCTACTAAATAAAGCCAACTCACATTCAGGAGCCACTGTGAATGGTAAATAACTAGAAACAAGCAGTCATCTTGTATTTTTAGCATATTCAGTCTTCATGTTTTCCAGCAAGCAGAATTAGTGAAAAAGTACTATCATTTAATGAGAAGCAGGTGCAATTTCAACAAACAAACCTGGAAACCAGATGAAAACTCTTAATGCTGAAAGGTTGGAAGTACACTTTTTCAGTTTTTTTCAACTCAGCGGATGCAAGTTTAAAATGAATTCTTGAGGGCTGGAACAATGTAAAGCAATGGAAGAGTCACGGTACTTACAATGCCCATTCTGCTGTAAGTGGTTTCTTCTCTTCTCTTCTGACTTCATTTTGGCCTTTATGTACCATTGGCACCTTTCAAAAGGGTAAATAGAATCTTATTTTTAGAACTGAATGAGAATCAAAACCAACTAAAATACCTATCACCCATAGGCAAAGTTCTTAACATAAAGGCCATGTTTTAAGAAAATCCTTATATAACATGTGAAAATTTTACTCCACACAAGGTTTTTTGTATACAACAAAATTAACCCTAGATAAGAATAAAATACTCTCAAGTGGACTGATTGATTCAAATGATAGGAATCTTAGAGAATATTCTATAATCAGAAATAACCGTCATGTCCTTCCTTATATAACTTCTAATAGCTGTGAGTTGGTAAAAGGCATTAAAACTCAAAATGAGAACATGTTTTTGAGTCAAAAATTTCAGGCATTTAGACAACTGTCTTCTAGTTTCATTGCTAAAGAGCATGATTTCTTTTTTAATGTCAGAAATTTGGTAGAGGTATGTTCTGTTCTCTCTTGGGATGATGGTGCTCTAAGAAAGAGGAGATGCTTATCTTGCATGACTTCTTCAACGTGAATAAATTCATCAGCATCCATATGATTTGACAGTTCATCAAATTTCTAATTCCAAATGGTTAAACAGTATACATCTGTGGTATACAATCCAATCTTTCAATGTGAACTTATCCTCAAATCCTATGGAAAATTGAGTATTTATTCAGAAATGTCTTACAGTTTTTATAGAATAATTTCCAATGAATACTCCCCTATCAAAGTGCTTAAGGGATACTTCAAAATTTATTTTTTTATCCTGTATAATTGAAATTGTATTCTCCAGGATATAGAATATTAATTTCTAATGTCATATAAATTAGCAAACATGGAAAGTAAAAGCTGAAAATAATTTAGTACAAATTTTTCTTTATCATTGAATTATTTTTTTAAGTGGTATTAAATTCTGCTTCAGAAATCCCAAATAAAGATAACATTTGAGCACATCTCTGAAGTTATGAGGGCAAGCTGATTTAGCCTAAAGGCTAGAGGTTTATTTTTTTAACCTAATTGTCATTGTGACTTTCCATGCACCAAGATTGTATTTAATCCCTCTTCTTGCAAGACAATCCTAGATAGGATCAGAAGAACTCTAACCTGTTATTTTTGTCTTTTTGTTTTGTTTTGTTTTGCAAACTAGCTTAGACCTCCACCAGGATACACAGGGTTTTGTTTGGTTGTTTCTGTTGTTGTTGTTGTTGTTTTTAGAACCAGTTCTCCCCTGCTAGTGATTAAGGATTTTGTAGGTCATGTTTGGTATTTGAGGGTGTTTTATTGAATATTTTGTTTTCAACCAAATGGTTAGTTGGTTTAGAGAATCCAAAATCTGTTTTCCTGCCCACTATAAAAGATGGTTGTACCAAAGCTGTGATGATGGCAAGAACTGTCAGAGGTTAGCATGAGGTATAAAGGGAGAGAGAAATAGGAGAGTGCTGGGCAATGGTATCTGGTGGTGGCACCAGGACATGCCCAAACTAGTCCTTTCTATTAGGATTAATTTATCAGTATTCCCCGCATTCTTCCATTAGATATTTTTCTTTTTTCTTATTACTATAGCTATGACTTTTCTATCAGCTAATTAGCCTCCCAACACAGGAGACTCTGAGATACTCTCTATTTATTACAAGAGCAGTACTAGGTCTCTTAATACCAAAAAATTTTAAGTACACACGGGTAAATGTGTCCCTTTTACAATTAATTTCATAAAGAAGTCACCATTTCAACTCAACCACATTACGATATTCATGTGTTTCTCTGTTCCTTGATAAGTTCTGTAAAAGTGGGTTTGTTACAACTACATCTGACACCTTCAACAGGTGGCAGTTACAGTCAGGCAGGGACCCACCTTTGACAAGTGCCTTCTAAGTACTTGTGAATTTATTGATCTGCACCTTTAGCCTGCTCTAAAATTGTAGACAATAATTTTCCATGCATGCATATCCTCTGTAACTTTAAAATTAATTTTAATAAAATGTTGATATGTAAGTCAAGTTTTAAAATGAACAAAACAAAGGGTGTTTATAGTTCACTGAACTATTGCCCCTGAAGGTAGCTCTTTGTTATTTCTGCTCATTATCAAATATCAACATTTTCCAGTTGAGATGGCATACTCTGGCTGGTGTCATCATGGATGCATAGTTTTTGGCTGGCATTTAATTGCTCTTTTAAATCATGACATTGGTTTTTTGCAGTATGTGTGTTTTTCAGATTATCAAGAAAACTCTTGAGGTATTCTTTTGTGCCCCTACTGATAATCTAGAAGGAATTATTTTTCCCCTTGTAGGAATAAAAATATGATCTAATATATTGACAATATCTGACAAAGAGTCGAGGCCTAATATCAAGGCTTACATAAGAAATACTACTTGTTCTTTTATGTGACTTCATACATATTACCTTTACTCACATCTCTGTATTGTCAGTACCTGGCTCATGGTAACAAACCAATATATCTAAAAATCAATAAATGGTTTTAATTCACTGTTATACCATATGTACAAAAATAGAAATATAAGTTTTAGATGGGTGAAGCAATTTGACCAGCTAGTCAGGATTCCAATCTAGGTCTTTTGCTATGTTAAATTTATTGTTACTCTGAATTTTCATCCTTATTACACTAAAGTGGAGAAATACCGGGGTTATAAAACCAATTAATATAATTCTAATATAGATCCTTTCACTATTTAATGAATAAATATAATACATTCTATAACACTAAGTTTATAAAGAGCTTTTATATAAATTCTCTGTTGAATTATGTTTTTCCCCAGGAAAAATCCCTTTCATGGGATAATTTGAATGTAACAAAGGAAAAACTCAGAAGTAATTTATCGAGTAAGAATTTATCATTCATAGCTTTCAAAGTGTTTTTATCAAGTCCCTAGTCGCTTTCAGGTTCAGAAGCCTATTGATACAGAGAACTAGCCAGGTGGTTCTGTTATCATACAAATTTCAGTCAGAGCAGAATCTGTCCTGATCCCTTTTTCTCTCAAACATGGTTTGTTAAGTTGAAAAGCATATGAATACAAAGTATATAAGAGAATGGTTATTCACAAGTCTTGGTAATAATCTGGTATGCTGTAGTTACCTCCCAGTGATTAAGAAGAACAAAGTAAGAATGACGAGGAGAGTAAATCCCCCAACAGCCGCGGTGGCTATCACGAGAATCTGTCCCTGTTCGGCCGCCATGTCAGAAGCTGAAACACAAATACAATATTAAAATTTCCCTGGGTGACATTTCACTACCAAAATTATTTTACAACTTAGTATGTGCTTGAAAATATGGTAATGGACACCAAAAATCCCTACTGTATTTGCCTTTATCTGGCACACAGGATGCAAACGTAAAATAAGGGCTGAAGTTTGAGGTCATAACCTGCAACATCACCCTTTATTCTTTTTCACAAAAATACCAATAGAGTAGATGGATTCTTAGTATCCCACATTCTAGGATTAAGTATTTGTTGCAAATTTAAATCAGCAGATGGACTTAAAGGATTTTGTTTATATAATTGCTAACTTATTTCCTTAAACACTTTAATTAAACAACAGACTAGGCTTTACCCACTGTTTTGGTGTCTATTTCCACAAAGTGGAAAGACTACTGCATAATTCGCTGAAGAATGAGCTTTTTTATATTTCATGGAGCGTAATTCAAATACTAAAGTTAAGAATTCGCACTCTACAGCACAAGGGTGTACATAGTAAGTTCTTAGATGTCTAGCAGTAATTTAAAAAATTACATTTGAAATCTTCCTTTTTTCGAAGATAAGACTAAATAACATATGGTAACAACATATTATTTCTCTCACTGACAAAACTGTATCTAAAACTGTATTGGATACATGTTTCACTACTTCCCAGGAATCTTTTAAAATATATTAGTTCAATTAATTCATTAGCACTTCTTATTTTGTGTATTACTGAAGTTTTAATCAGATATATTTTTTATTGAATGGGATATGAACAATTGCTTAGGAACAGAGGCAAGAAAACTGAAGCCCAGAGAGGGTACAGAACTTGCCCAACTTCACATACCACAATCACCAGAATTCAATCTTCAGATTTATGTTTCATTTCTCCTTAGGTTATGCCTTGAAGTAATAATTCAGTTAATTATCAGTATTCTAAAATATTGAGTCAATCAGTCCCTAAAAATCCTTTAAGTAGAATAAAGCTTGATTTTTATTTTGATTACTATAAAAATTTATTTATTTATTTATTTTTAAAGA